GATTACTTCTTTATTTTTAATAATAGAGAAGACATACTTCTTCTACTGCATTTTGTAAAAGTAAAAGTAAGTATGTTTAAGTTGACTTTTACTTTAAAGTGATCCTGAACATTATAAGAGTAATAAAATTTTATAAGAATGTTAGGATGGTATATGTACTTATGTTTTATGTTATAAATGCTCAAAGTGATGTCTGTTGACAATAAAGTACTGTTTAAAATCAAAAACTGATAGATATTGATATGCTTTTTCGATTATTTCTAATACAATAGCAGAACAAATTATAATTATGCGATTCTACATATATATACCAATTTATGTTTACCAACGCTATGCATATGCTTAAAACAGCATGCATAAATAAAAAATATGATAAATTCTTGTTTTAGTGTACCACTGCTGTTAATGGAGATTATTTTGAGCATTTGTAACATAAAAAGTAAAATAACCACAAAAAGAGTTTTCTATTTATAATACTTTTCTTTTGAAATATTTCTTATGTCACTAAAAATAATAAAGATATTTAGGTGTTGAGTCCTGGGTTAGATACCTTATACATTCTATAATTTACATTACATCTATACATCAAACATTTATATACTTGTGCACATCAAAGTTGCATATGAATTTAGGAAATAGGTAAGCACATTTTATTTAGATTCTAAAACTACATAATATTTAGTAAAACAGATGAATTATATATATGAAATGTAATAAATACTAATTCAGGAATATTTGTATTTACTGTTAAGAGTTATTGTTACTGTTAACATTAATGACATTGTTGTTGTGATTAAATTCTTTCAAAGGTGTAAATATTCCTGAATTAAGTAAAAATCTATGTGAAATTTCAATTGCAGAGTTTAAGTAAGAGATATATACATATTCTCATAGATATTGCTTTTAGGTATATGATTAGTGATATGGTGATACCTCACAAAGCCTTGAATATGATGAAAAATTCCTGGTTTATCAAGGATGCAATCAATGTGATTATTAGTGTATATAAAATAAGGTTGGAGAACCTCGTAAAAATGTGGAGCTCTGGTTTTAACAATACACTGGTTTGTTCGTATTACATTATATCCATGTATTATGTTAAGATCACAATACAAGGAGTCCGTAAATATTCTACAATAAAACACTCTATTCAGTTTATGTATTTAAGAGTTTATATTTTGTACACACATAAATAACTTTATACACGCATTCTCATCAATTACAGATTGGTAATAATTATAAAGACAAACTTTAAGTGGATGCAATGGTTAATACATAATGGAAAAGAAGATAACGAAATCTTTACAAAATTTTTCTACAATCTAACAAGTCAAGAGTTTCAAAAATTGTATAATTTTGTACAGTATATGCCAATCAATTCAATATTTAATATAATACATATTAATAATATAAATCACATAATATACGATTGTGAGTGGTATTATAAATACAACATGCATGAATGTGTGATATCAATATTTTTCTGGTTGTGAGTAACTTATTTTTATTTGATAATATAGTATCTCACACATTATATAATTGATCAGTAACAAAGATAGCATTCTCTGGCTTTTGAATTAAGTTTCTAGAATTTCATAGTTGATGGTTTTTAATTTTTTTATGCAAATATAAAATTATTACTTTACCTCCAAATGTTATTCTGCAGATTGCTAAGACTTTTTGCGATAACACGGTTCTCCTCTGCAAGTTGATACTTTTTAAATGTTTCACTTGAAGGAAGTTCAGGCGTGACAGAAGCATAAAGCTGATGGCAACGAAGCCATTGATGTGTTCTGTCTAAATTTCCACTTCGCTTGTTGTTGCTCCTGCCTCCAGCCATGAGACATGTTTAATATTTCATACTTGTCCACCTTTAATATATAAAGTAAATGTTTAAGAATATAAATATGTATAGAAATACATTATACAATGTAAATGCTACACTATTATGTTAACATTGTTATTTTATGTAAAAAGTTTGAAAAATGACTTTACGTGTTAGTATATCATTTATCAAATGTTTAAATTTTTTATATGCATATATTAATTTAATATCCAACAAAAATATAATACTCAAAGTAAAAATAATAAAAGATAAAGTAGTAATGAAACTTTACACTATATGCATTGCTGACAAAGTACACAAAAATTTCAAGGTCAACCTAGTAGATACTTCTTGCATAGCAATTACTATTCCATTTAGGGTATCTATAATATTCAAACAAATGTCATTTATTATAATTCGTTTAAAATGTATTACAAAGTGTACAAAATTATATTCTTCAAAGAAATATGTTATTTAATAGTATTTTGAGATTGTATTTTTAAAAAACCTCTTAAGTATTATGAAAAAACATGTACCTAACTTCTAATTATATTTAACCTTAAATTCAACGTGCAATCAAATATGGATTTATGTATGAAATGTCAAATTTTTATAATAAAAATTTCTAAATTCAATTAAAGCGACTAATAATATTAAAAAATGAAGATATGCAATTATATTGTAATGAAAAGTAGGAATTCACTTTGAAGTAGAAGATATCGTGGCGAAGAAAATGATGCCGATCTATCATTTAATTGATGAAATTTACTTTTACAATACGTTAACTAAAATACAACGTATACTCTCGCCGTGTCATGTTTCTTTGACATTTGAAAATCACTAATAGAACACACCTTGTTGACTGTCATTCAGTGCATTTTTGTACCGTATTCCAAATAGATTTCGTGTGTGGAATATTAACATACAGAAGTTAATACTTTTTGACAGAGTGAGCCTATTTTAATTAAATTTTAGAAGAATAAAAACATGTTTGTATACGTTGCTGTAACGTCGAAACATCTTCGCAAATAAATTTTTGACAAGACTTTCTCAATAATTTATTGATCGCACTTGGTACATATACCTAAGTACGTACCTCGCATTATTTCGGTTCTCAGACACCGGCCCGGTTATATCATAATTATGCGTTCTTACAAGGCGGAATCCTTTTATACATTTTGTCCGACGCGTCCGTTACGAAATTCGGCGGATATTAACGGTACGATACCACCAAACTTTTGCTTGTTTGTTGTTCGAAAGACATAAATATGCAATGATCGTTCTCAGTGCGAAAGCGTGAGATTGTCTGCTGCAGGCTCCAGTAGGTGACGCCAGGATCGAGATCAATTTTTTATTTTGAGGTTATGTGTGAGAATGTTCTGTCAAACACTGCCGTGGACCGAGCCATGAGTTCTCGTCTACAATGCTGTTTTGTTGCGAGAACTATGTTTACCTGATGAATATCAAAAATGAACTCGAAGGAAAAGGAGAAGTACATCGAGGAATTCGATTTTCCCTATTGCGACGAATCGACAAAATATGAAAAAGTTGCAAAAATCGGCCAGGGCACATTTGGGTGAGTACAATGATGAATTTCAATCTATGGAGAGGTTATTTTCTTCACTACACATTTTATCATTTTTTTAACAATTATGATTGTGCTTTAGGGAGGTGTTCAAAGCTAGGGATAAAAATTGTACTAAAAAATTCGTAGCAATGAAAAAAGTGTTGATGGACAATGAAAAGGAAGGGGTATGTACACTTTCAAATATTCGTTTATTTAATACATCTCTTTCCATTTTTTATCCATATCAATTCGACTGTTTATATACGTCAGTTTTTATATAAAAACATTATATTTTTACCTCCTATATAGAACTTTATTTGTGAAAAAGAATTGTGTATCTATATCACATCAAAGTATTTTAAAACAATATATCTAAAACATTCATTGTCCTGTGAATATGACATGGCATGATATTAATTACTT